CTCCCATCATCTGCAAAGAGCACGTTTGTGGCTCTTTCCCCAACCTCAGCACCCCAGGGGTGATTTGGGGGAGGTGTTTCCACAAAAGAAGCATCTCCCACCTTCAGGTGGAACATCAGCTGCTGCTGGGAGCTTGGGGGCAGGTCCAAAGCTCCAGCCCTGCCCCCGGTCCCAAGTCTCTGTTTCTGGGGGCTGGGGGGGGATCTGATGCCTTCTCTCTAACACACCCCCCCAGAAGGTCTCCCCTGAGCCTCCTTTGCTCCAGGCTCAGCACTCCCCAGTTCACCTGCCCTGGGTAAAGAGCCTTTTAGCCCCAACACATCACAACTCTTCCAGCTCCTCCCAGAGCATCTGGAGGTGTCCCAGTCCCTTTTTCCAGAGCTTTGCTGGTGTCATCCAGGCAGGCCAGCAGAGGTCAACCACACAGAGTGTTCTGCTGGGCAAGGAGAAGGTCCTGGAGGGCTGGAGAAGGGGCTGGAGAAGGGGCTGGAGTGCTACAAACCACAGCTTTTAACTTCTGCCAACCCAGCCCTCCTCTGCTGAAGTCTTTGGCTCTGTGCTTGGGCTCACTTGCCTAATACCTGCTCTTAGGATTTCGGGTGAAAGCCACAGAGAACCTCCTTCTGTGGCATTTAGGTCATCCCCCTTGTTGTGTAAGGAACAAATTCCTTTTCACTGACTTCATGTAGGTTTGAGGAACCCACGTGCAGTTTGTTGTGGTGCTGGGTTCGACCAGAATTAAGGGTTAAGGTCAAGGGTTGATGGATTTATTCTTAGATAGATGCTCCCTCAAGTGGCCTCGTGGTCTTTTTTTGGAGGGGGTTTGAGGTCAGGCAGCTCTAGGAGAGCCTGGGCAAGGAGAACCTACAATGAGGTGAACCTCCACCTCCACCAGAAGATTTCTTGGCTCTCCTGGCACAGCACTGCACCAGAAGAGAGCTCTGAGAAAGCCCAGAGGACTGATCTTCTCTTCCTCCTTCTAGAATGGCATTTTTTTAGGTTGACTAACTCATTTTTCAGCAAGTAGGAGCCTTCTCCTTCCTTTCTGCCTTTTGATGCCCTCAGCACGGGGGCAGGCATCTGTGTGACTTCAAGATCCATCAGTATTTCCACAGTTGAGTTTCCTCTGAGGTCCCAAAGCAAGGACCTGGTCTGATATCTGCTGCAAGCTGTCCTCTAGTTGATAGGGGCCTGCTCCTAGAGGCAACAGATTTTTTATCCCCTGTGATCCAGGTGCCCACAACTTATTCCCAGCCCCAGGAGGGTGAATCAGCTGAGTGGTCTCATTTTTCCTACTCTTGGCCTTAAGAATAGAGACCCAGGAAGGGAGGTTGAGGAGGGTGACCATGGGAAGCTGTTTGCAGCCTCCACTGAGAGAGATTTCTCAGCTTGGTGGTGCTTCTGCCAGTTCCAGCTCTGAGAAGGTCACTCCTGTGGTGACTGCAGCACAGGAGAGAGCCAGATCTGAGAAGTGGAGGCTCCAGGAGATGCAAACTCCTCTTCTCTAACTCAAGCAGTGCTTGGTCAAGAAATTCTTCCTCAGGGCCAACCTCAACCTCCCCTGGGGTGACTTTAGGCCCTTTTCCCTCCCTCCAGGCTCCTGTCAGGAGCTGTGCAGAGCCAGAAGGTCTCCCCTGAGCCTCCTTTGCTCCAGGCTCAGCACCCCCAGCTCCCTCAGCTGCTCCTCCCCACACTTTTTCCATGCCAAGTGTAAATTCAGAGGGCAAAACCCACAATTAAGTAGTTCCTGGGCTCCTCCTCTTGCACCCACAAAACTAAGTTCCTTGCTCCAGAATCGTTTTGGATGGAAAAGATCCCTCAAGATCATCAAGAGAATCATCCTAATGAAGCTGATCATCAGAGATCATCCTCACTAGTAACTACCTTTGAAATTTCACCTCTGAAATTTGAATTTCATCTCAATTCAGTCATTTTTCCTGGCACATTACAGAGCAGGGACCCCTTCAATTCTTTTTAGCTGCAGTTCTGAGCTCTGTCTCAGCTCCTTCTCAGCCTTTGCTGTGGCTTGGTGAGATGGAGACAGCACAGGGGGGGACCTCAGCTCCTTCTCTACTTCCTAAGCAGCTTTTTCAGCCTTCTCAGAGCCCTGGAGAGTGAATTTTGGTGTGGGAATGGCACCAGTGGGTCGCTGGGGAGCAGGGGAGCCTCCAGCAGCCTTCTGCCAGGAGAAAAGCAAAGGGCACCTGAGCTCGTGGGGGTGACAAGGGTTTAGTTTGGGCCCAGAATTCCCCAAAAACGGGCTGGAGTAAAGAAATGGAGGGAAGGAGGGAAGAGCTGCTGCATGCATGGAGGTGGAGGTGCCTGGAAATCCACCTCTGGGTTTGCTGGGCTGGTGTCTGGGGCTTTGCCTCTGGGGGCTGAGGAATCCACATTTGAAGGAGAGCGAAGTCTCTGGGTTGCTTTTATTGATCCTCTGGGGGTTTTTTTCTTGGCTTTTTGCACCGTTTTTGTGGTTTCAGGCTCAGTGAAGCTTCAAAAGGGTTCATTGGTTTGCCAGAGGGCTTTGGAACCAGGCGGTTCCCAAAGTTACTGCTGGGAGCAGGAGGAATTCCTCTCCCTGACAGCAGGCTCTGAGAAATGCCAGCAGGCTCCCTCCTCCCTCTCCCCAGAGCTTTAGGGTTTGAGGGAAGGCAGCTGGGGAAGGGTGGTGGTGCTGTGCTCCACAGGAACATCTCCCTGCTGAGGCTGGAGCTGCTCTGCTCACACCCTGCCAACTGGGCTGGTGCTGGGCTCTTCCCATCAAGCAAACTGGTGCTTTCCCCTGGAGCTGGGGGCTTTGGGATAGACCTGAGCTCTTGGCTTTGCAGCCTGTGGTTGGAAGAAGGGTCAGAGGATGATAGAATCAGAGGTTGGTTTGAGTGGGAAGGGAGCTTTGGAGGTCACCCAGTCCAACCCCCCTGCAGTAAGCAGAGACATCTGCAGCTAGGTCAAGGTGCTCAGAGCTAATCCAGCCTGACCTTGGATGTCCCCAGGGATGGGGAGTTGGGCTGGGGCAGCCCCAGAGGAGAAGGCTCCAGC